TGTGTGTGTGTGTGTGTGTGTGTGTGTGTGTGTGTAATAGTTAATCATAAAGTTCTGTATAAAACTGTTGAATCAACCCTTTTTTTCTGTTTTCATGTAAGAGTCAGACTTTCTTAAAATATTTTTAAAGTATTACAAAAGTTATGATGATTTTCTATAGAACTTTGTCACTGCACTCATTTCTCTTACCTGAACAGTTTTAAATGAGGCCTGGGCCTTTTGATGTTCAGTTGTTGCTTAATCATTGCATTAAAATAGGACCTAACTCAAATAATGAATCTACAAACGGCTTTATGGCACTTTACCACTACATTAATGTCAACCCCTTCGGATGTTTATCTGTATCGTGACCCTTAGAAATTTACAATTTTCACAAAAAATCCATAGTACTCTCACTCCATAGGACAAGGGGTGCTGGGGGTGTGACTGAGCGGAATGTCAGCAGCAGAGAAGCGGGGAGGGAAAGATGAGAAAGTGGAAAACTTGCAGCCTGCCAGTATTGAGACTTCAATAAATTTAGGAAAAATGGGTAAGTTGGTCCTATATGTCTGTATTCATGCAAAATGGGGGRAAATACTACAGCCTTGTCACAAAAGYCATTTATTCTCAACTCTGAAGTTGCATTTCCAGAAAATCCCCAAATCTACATATTTTATAATTGTGTTTTTGCACAAACACAGTATAGCCAATTAAAAGCAATTAGTTTAAAAATGTATGATTTCTGTGCAACATGTCAGAAAGTGCAGAGAAAACTTGACAAAAGGAAAGCCAAAACAGTGGCCACCTAGCTGACATGTTTAAAGTCATCTTAAGGGGAACAAAGAAATCTATTAACAATGTAAAACTGGTTCTTTTCTGAATTGTTTGTTGTGTTTATATGTTTTACATGAAAGCATTAAATCATTAAGGAAAATGGATCAATAAGAAATTACACTGAACTTGTCAAATAGAATGGCAGAAGTCACAATGGGTGAAAAACAAACAGCATACTAAGAAGAATTTTTTTTTTAAGATTTTCACAAAATCTACTGCAGGAGACCCCGATGCCATGATATTCAGTCAAGCTCAGGGTGCAGCTGACATGGAGACATAAATAGCAACACAATGAACATGCAGCTGTATGTACCTCAGCCCTGGGGGAGGAGAAAAGATCCATCTTCGGTTTGACAGTTTTTCTAAAAGACAGCAGAAAAAACAACATATAAATGAACAATGTTGGCAGATTAAACCAGTTACGTTTGAGCAAATGATGAGCAGTTTGATTAAAAAATACTTTTACTCAACACAAAGTCTCTCTCTAGATTTTTTTTTAAACAATTAACTAAATATAAAGCCCACATATCATGGATATTTACTTGCCCTATAAAAAAATCATTTTATTATTTATTTATTAACCTTTTTTAACCAGGCAAATCCCATCGAGATCACAGAYCTTGGGARGCCTGGACCTGAAGGCAACTCGAAGTACTTGTTTTTGGTCTGTGGGAGGAAACCAGAGTTCCCAGAGAAAACCCACACAAGCATGAAGAGAACATGCAAACTCCACACAAAAAGAGCTCAAGCTCAAACTGGAGAACAAACCCAGGACCTTCTTGATGTGAGGCATCAGTGSTAAGCACTGATCCATCATGCTGCCCAAAAAATAAAAACAGAAAGAAATAAAGTCTATWAGACCTCTTGGAGAACAAATCCTATACTTTGTTGGTGCTAAACTCTCATTTTGAATTTGGGGGGCAACCTAAATGTTTTTTTCTACCCAACAAATAACCAACACATTTCATGTGAACACTCTGCAAGCACGGTTTATTTTCTCAAGAAATAACAAATTCTTATGAATCATAATTTTAGTTAGAAAACCTATTTTACACAAATGAAACGAAATCATTTATGGCAGAAAAATAGGCAAATTTTGCTAGGACTGAACATACCATAGTTTAAAGTAAATGTATTTTTTTACCTTAAGCAGTATATCTGATATGAAGACTTGATGGGAAACACTATTTGTGACAACTAGTGTGTAAGACATCAAAAGAAACACAATGTAATGTATGCAGCAATACAATGAAAGAGGAAATATCCTTTTAAAGAAAATATAATAATTCAAAATGCATTTAAGCCCAGAAAGGCAAAGGTAGGTTGATGAAATGAGGAAATTGTCCAATCTTTGCATAATTTCCTGTTCCTTTAACACAACCCCTGACCACAAGAGAATGAGCCARTTAGAAGCCTGGAGGACCGTTATGAACGAGGAAGTAGAGTGTAAAAAAAAAGGGTAATAAGTCAAAAGCTTTGAAAATGTAGGTAGACTTGTTTCCATTGTTTACTCAGTTCCATCTAGTCATGGTGTGATGGAGACATAWGAGGATACAGACACTGAGGCAGCACAGATCTGCCACCTGGGACATCACCACTCACAACAGTCAGGTCTGGATTTGACACAAAGCAGGTGTGCTACACAACAAAATCACCTGGCTGTAGCTGAAGGAAACTGCTCTGAATTGTAGCTCCTGYCTCAAATTTAACAATAACGAGGCACTGTTTTAGGTGATGAGTTTCTCAAATGTGTGCCTCATTATTCTGCGATAAACAAGACCTTAAAAGATATTTTTGCATACTAAAATTGCTGTTTTTACATAAACACACCATTAAAATGCCATCTAATTGTGTTTCTATTTTTTTGTTTTTACATAAAACTTGGAT